GGTGCGGGGCGGGGTCCTGCCACCTGAGGTCTGAAGACGCCCAGATCCAGCCAATGCTGCAGCGGGGCTGAAGCCGCCACTGCGCGGGCTGGTGAGAGCTGGCAGTGCAGTGGAATGGCTTGTCTCGTCGGCGGCGGTGGCGCCTTCGGCGTCGCTGAGCTGTGCGCTGGGGTCGGCCTGGGCCGAGTTGATGGGCGCACTGCTGTGCGACAGGGGGCGCCCTGTGTAGGGTTCGCTGTCACGGTCGCGCTGGGCCGTGTCACCTGGCGGTGTCGTGCCGTCGAGGTCCTGGGTTTCCGTGTCGTGGATGGAGTCGTTCTGGCTATCGTCCGACACGTGGAACGAGTCCAGGGATATGTTGCTGATATCGCTGGCAGCGGTGTGCTGGAGCAGAAGCGGTTCGGCGTCGGCCGCGGGCTGGTCACACGTGGCGTTCTGGGCGAGGGGGCCAGCTGGCGGTGGTAGGTTTAGCGGTTCCATCGGTGCCGCGGCGAGCTCCGCCTCGACAAGCGGCTGCAGGTCTGGCGGGTGGTGCAGGATCGCATCCGCGAGATACGCCAGGGCGTCTTGGTCGGGCGGAGGGAGGCCTCTTGGCAGCAAGGCGTGGGCCCGTGAGAGGTATGGCGGCAGTGGTGCCGCGAAAGCCTCAGGGCCGACGAGCTGGGCACGAGCGCCCTGGTATTCCAGAAGGAGGCCAAAGTAGCGGGTGGGGTACTCGTGGCTGCCCTGGATACGAGTGAGGTTGCGGTTGGTGCGCTGTCTGTCGGGGCCCGCTCTGTGCCAGATATCCTCGCACATGTCGAACGCGGTGCGGTGGCGCAGGGCGTCGTTTTTCTCCGCGGAATCCTCCTGGAAAAAGTGGTCGTACTGTGGCAGATGGAGCGTCGCCAGGACGTGCGGGACGCAGTCCTCGAGCCATGCCCAGTACACGTCCTGATGGTCCTCACCTGGTGCCCACGCCGCGGCGCACGGTATGAGCCGTGCTCGGATGTTCATCAGGTGCCAGAAAGCGGGGTCCTCCTCGGGTTCACCCCTGGCGCACAGAGGGGTAGTGGGACTCGTGGGGCTGAAGCGGGGCACGACAGCGGGGCTGAAGCCGCCACTGCGTGCCTGGGCCTTGCCAGCGGCCCTGTCGAGGATATGCTGCACGACGGTCGAGGACAAGCTGAGGACAGGGTACCATCGAGGATATGCTGTACGACAGTCGACCGCAAGCGTCATGTTGAGTGATGGTAGCCCTCGTAGCTGAACTTGCATGCGGTGCGAGGCGTGGCCGGAGGACGCAGGAGTCATCTCAGCTGCGGCAACATCGGTGGTCGACTGCGATGCATGTGTCGTAGTTGACGAGGGCGTGCTCGTAGGAGACATGCTGGTACTCGTCGTAGACGTCGTAGTAGCCGTCGAAGTCCCAGGGGGGCAGCGCGTGGGGCGGGGCCCCTGGTGCTGCTCAGGCCAGGCGCTCGCGGGGGCGCCCAGCGGCCCGGTGCCGCACGGACCAGCGGCGGCGGTGCTGTTCACGATCGGGTCCAAAATGGCGCTGTGATCGTATTTGTAGATGCTGTCATCGTAAAGGTAGAAGAGCGTCCCACGCTCCGCATGTCGCAGGAAAGCCTCTCCTCCGTGCTGGGGCGCACCGCCTGAAGACGGGTGTGCTCCAGCCAGCGAGGGGAGGGCCAGGCCGCAGGCAAGGCGCCACATGATGGCGAGGCCTGGCGGGCGGCGCGAGCGATGAGCCGAAAGCTGCGTGGCAGCACACGTCCTCAAATACCCCTGAATGCTCATGTACATTGCTACAATCACGCCCCCTGCAAGACTACGGGTGTCCCTACACCAGATAGCTTGCGCGTGCTGCTGCCAAAACAGACATGAGGTAACAAGAAAGAGATACGACGCGAAGAGGGGAGCGATGCCTCTGAAGGCGCTTCCTCGGAGGGCTGAGGCGGGCTCTCTGAGGCACCTTCAATAGGGTTCCTGGGTGGCCCGACCCTTGTCCTTGCCTTTGTCGGCCCCTGGGGGCCCCGTCCCTGGGGTGGCCTGGCCTGGCTGGTCGGTCAAACTGCAGGCTGCCGCGGGCTCGGCGGCCGCTGCGGCTTCCTCCTTCTTAGTTTCCAGAGTGGCCGCTTGTGGCAGGTGGATGGTGCCTCCCGTGAGGTGCCCGAGGAGGGTCTGGATGTCGCCGCGCAGTGCAGCGGCGTCGGCGGTTGCCGTCTGTTGCTGGGTGACGACGGTGGCAAGCCCCCGTTCCAGCCCTGAAACGTGCTCCGTGAGTGTGGCCTGGGAGGAGAGAACGCCCGCAAGCTGCACCTGCATGTTATCCACCGTGTTGGCTAGCAGCTCGTGCTGCTGTTCCATGTGCTGGATGCGGGTCGTGGCAGCATCGGGCGGTTTAGAGGCCGATGCGAAGCGCTCGCCGAAGGTGTTGAGTTCGTGGGAGGCCACGCTGTATTCATCACCTGATGAGAGGATCTCGACGTCGACGACGTCACCTGGTACTTCGGCGGCTGTGGCAGCGTCGCCTTCGGTGTGGCCCCCACCTTCTGCCGCCGCCGTGCCAAGCCAGGGGTCGTGGCCACCTGGTCCTGGGGCGGCCGTCGGTTCAGCGGCTCCGTCCGTGCCGTGCGGGGGCGCAGAGGAGCTGCGGCCTGGGGCGCAGGGTGGCCTTGCGTGCGGCGTGGCGTCACGTTTCCCGCTGGAGGAGCGGTGGCGCTTGGCTGAAGGCTCCTCCTTGGGGGTCAGGAGCGGTGCGACGCCCTTGCCTTTGGGCGTGGCAGTCATGAGGTCGTGGAGGTAGGGGCTCTGGGCCGCTTTGGTGAGGAGTGTGCCGGTGGCGGGGCTAAAGCCGCCACCACCGGCTGGCGGCGTCACAGGCTCTGTGATGGTGGTAGGCGTGACGATGGTAACGTTGTCCCGCTTCGGCGCCACCTCAGCCAGCGGGGCCTCGGTGATGCTCCACGGGATGGGGCACCCCGCGACCTGCACCGTATAGGTGAGTGGGGGCCGATGAGCGCGCACTAAGGCAAACTGGGCCGCAGTGGCTGGGTCCCAGGCGGTGTGGTAGACCTCACAGTCCCATTTAACGGACGGGCCCGTGAGAGTCTTGGCGAGCTGGGTCAGCGTGGCGTGGCGTGCCGCAATGCCAGTGATGCGGTAGCGCGTCTTGGCGAGGGTAGCCTCGCAGCCGCGGATGCTGACAGCAGCGGCCTTGGCGACGTCGGACCCCCGCGGAACACGGATCCCCAGCAGGCCTGACTTGCCGTGCCTGACGACTCCCAGGGCCTTGAACTCCACCGACTTCTGGAACGCGTCTGCCATCGTGATGGGCTGGTCCTCAGGGAACCAAACGGTCTGATACTTGTCGGCGGTGGGCTCGTCTGCACCTACGTTGCTGAGGTCGTAGGTGGCACCGAGTTGCCCTGATCCCGCCAGGACCTTGTCGACCGCTTGGAGACTGACGCCGAAGGTGGCAGCCAGGGACCTCTTTCCGACGCCCGATCCAAACCTGCCTAGGCTTTTGCAGGGTTCGAGGATGGTGACGGCTTTAAAGTTGCCGTGGAAGAGGGCCTTGAAGGTGTCCTGGAGCTGGCTATCGAGCTCCTGGCGGCGAGCGTCTTTCTTGGACTCCTTGTGCTTTTGGCGCGCCTTGTCCTGTGGAGCGGAGTCGCCTCGAAAAGGGCCCTTGGCGCGTGGACCACCGTTCACGGGGGCACCTCCCGAGAACTGGTCCTCGAAGGCCTGGTGCATGGAGGGGACTGCGGCAATGGCCTCGGTCTCGTGTATGGTCGCCCGAATCCAGCAGACGTGGTCGGCAGGGTCGATGGTGGCGACGGCTACCTTTTCCGTGCAGGCGACCTCCTTGGTGCCCAGCTGGTACACGATCACGGGGACGTGCGTGTGGACCACTTTGGGCGCCTTGGGGTGGCGCTTCAGGACGGGGACGGCGAGCTCGGTACCGACGTAGTTGTCGTTTTTCGGGCCCATGACAGCAATCGCGAGCTGACCCGTGGCTCGCTTGCCCTGCTCGAGGTGGTGCTGCAGCAGCCGTTCACCACTCTCGTAGTCGTGGAGGCTGATGCTGGGCTTGTACGTCTTGCCGTCGTCAGGCGAGGTGGGTTCGGCAAGGACAGGGACCTTCCAAAAGGCAGGGTCCAAGGCGATGAATTGGGTGTCCGCAGCCTGAAGACGTGCGGAGCCCGCTGGTGGATGCGATGTGTCACCGCCAGTGCGCTTAGGCTTGCTGCGCTGGTGGTGATCGAGCGTGTAGCTAATCTGGTTGGCGGCGCACATGCGGATAAGGGCGCTGCCAAGCTTCTTCGTGTTGGACTTGTGCATGTCGTACATTGCCTGGAGCTCGTCCGCGTTCAGTTCGGCTAGCCCGTTGTAGGCGGCCGTGGGGCGGTCAGACCCCGCTTGCCTGAACGCTGCGATGCAGTCCTGCTTGCGTTGAAGGAGGGACCCTTCAGCAGCAGGGCGCGTGGGGCGGGAGCTCGGAGGCTGCTTTGAAGAGCGACGGCGCTCCGGCTTCTTGGGAGCCATTGCTGCGGGCACTCTGGTGTGGAGCGGTGACGCGAATCAGTAGGGTCCTGCTGGGGCCCCTCCGGTCTCGCGAGGCCTGGGAGTCTGACTCCGAGGCGGGGCGCTTCGCGTCGCGGCTGCGGTCTGAGTGCAGAGCACTCTCGAGCCGAGACTAGAGAGAGAGAGAGAGAGAGAGAGAGAGAGAGAGAGAGAGAGAGAGAGGGAGAGAGAGAGAGAGAGAGAGAGCGAGGGAGAGAGAGAGAGAGAGAGATAATGTATATTTGCACACATACATGCGCCGCCAGAAGCGCGAGCTCCTGCAACCCCTCGTTGCGCAACGCAAAGTGGTAGGCTATGCAGGAGACGCATGGGTCGCTGCTAGAAGCACAGGACTGGCTCCGCCAGTCTGGGGTGATGGTGCACTGTGAAGGTTCTTTTTCTCCAGGCCCCATGGCTGGCGGCGCACTCGCCGCCCCCCATGCTCCGAGGAGTGTGCGGGCGGGTCTTGCGGACCAAAGTTTTGACTCCAGGTGGTGGCCATTTGGCCCTGCCGGCTGCCTCGTGCAATGGAACATCCACGACTTCAACATCGCCAGTGCGCAGTTGGAGAGCATCCGCGCGATGCTGAACGCGGACATCGACGAGGCCTCTCGCGCCGCGTCTCGCGCCCCTGCGTCGCGCGCTCGTGCGGTCGTCGGCGGTTTCGACCTCTGAGCCAGGGGCCGCCTCCACCAGGACTGGGTCTCGGGGGGCCCGCTGGCCACGCAGCCCAAGTCCGACGGCCGCCGTGCCCCGCGGCGCTGCGAGCGACAGTGGAGTGACATTTTCGGGCGCATGGTCGAGCTAGCGGCGCGGTCGCCGACGCATCTGCACCGCTGGCAGAAGACGTTCTCGGCGATCGACCGCGTCTTCGCCGCGTGCCCAGCCCGGCTCCTCGAGCAAACGCGGCAACGAGCGGGGGTCATCGAGCCACCTGGGGAGCTGGTCGCCCGCGGGCTCAGCGACCGCGGGGCCCTTCTGGTGCGCTTCGGCCACCGCGACGGCGACGACGACCCCTTTGGGCAGATGCGGTTGGACAGCGGCTGCAAACCGATTCCGCCGCCCTTCTTCTGGGCGTCCGGTGCCGGGGAGCTGATCTCCTTGTTCGCCGCGGCTGTGGCTCCTGATTCGTTCGCCGCTCGCCCGCCGACCATGCTGGGCCTGCGCGCTCGCGTCCTGCAGGAGGTCGGCGCCCGCGCGCGGGGCGGGCAGCTGCGGCGGGGACCGAACTCGAAGGCCTCGAGGGCCATGGTGTTCCGCCGCGTGGCTCGTTGAATTTGGCGCCTGGACTGCAACTTCGCCGCGCTGCTCATCCGCGCCTGCGACTGCCCATGGCGAGCGCCGCCGGCGGGTGGCGCGGCGCTCCGCTCCGCGCGGCCCACGAGAGCGCCCAGCGCGCCGATCTTTTGCGCCAGGAGGCCCGCCGTGGCCAGGCGGCCCCAAACCGGCCCCCTCGCCGGCCCAGGCTGGCCCCGCCGCGCCAGCGCCGATGCGGCAGCGGCTGGCGGTATTCGGCAAGCGGCGTTACCGTGCTGGCGTGGAGGCGAAGGGCCAGGCGGTCAACTCCCCCTCGGAGCGAGCGGCGGCGCTCGCGGCGCACTGCAGCCCCCCGTCTTCTCCAACGTCGCGCCGGTCGACGAGCAGGCCGCCCGCCGGTACCTGGACCGCCTGTCGCCCCGCCTCGCGCCCGAGCAGCTGCAGAGGAGCTCCCGTCCCGGGCAATGCTGCGCGGGGTTATCTCCCAGGCGCAGGCGTCGGCGCCTGGGCCCGTCGGCGCGCCGCGGGCCGGCTGGGGCGCGGAGGAGGGCATCAACGCTCTGGCGCACGCGCTGCGGTGGATGGCGCCCGGGAGACCCGCGAGCGCTTGGTTCGCCCGAGCCCTCGCCGTCTCCCCCCTTGAAGGGGCGAGGGGGGCTCGCCGCGCTGGAGTAGTTCGCCCGGCTAGTGACGCCCGCCCCGTGGCCCTGAAGCGGCGAGCGCCGTGCACGCGGTGCTCGCCAGAATCATCGCCCAGTGACCTCCCCGATCCAGCGCGGCTGCATGCGCGGACGGAATCTGTTGCATGATGTTTTGGATCTAGATACGTTATCCCATTATCCCATATGGCGTCGTTTGGCTCCGAGACCCTGATGGCCCAGCCTTTGCTTCTGAGTTTCGACTTTGCTCAGGCGTTCGCGGCCTCCTCCCAAAGATGGCTCTTGATGTCGCTCCCGGCCCTTGGGCTCCACAAGCGAGCGGCCTCGGGGGGCCTGGGCGACTCGCCGAAGCTGTGCGCGGGGGCCTGGCGTCGCTGGGCCGCGCGCGGCAGCTCCTGCAGACCCGCTCCGCGGCCCTGGATGGCGGCCCCCCGTCGGCGCCAGGCGGCAAGCTGCGCCTGCAGGGGTTGCTCTTGCGAACGCTCTGCGCTGGCGTGTTCTCCAACGACCTGGCCTCGACGATGGCCCTGCGCGCAGAGCGCTGGAGCCCCCCGGTGGAGACTCCCGAGGCGCTCGACTGGGGGGCGCTGGCAGGTGACCTCCGCAGCTCGCCGCAGGCGCGGCGGGCGGCGTTGCTGCGGGCGCGGGCTGGGGCCTGGCAGACGGCGGCGCGCCTCCAGTCGCGCGGCCATCCGTGCGTCTTCGGCTGCGCGGCGGGAACTGATTCCGCGGCGCGCTGCGATGAGTGCCCATGCTTGCGCGGTGCCGCAGAAAGAGCGCTGGGCCGCGCGCTCGCCCCGTCTGCGCGGGGGCGCTTGGCTGTAGACGCCGGGGCCGCGGGGCCTGCGAAATTGGAGAGGGGCCGCGGCGCCGCGTTGATGTGCCGTCTGCATCGAGTGGTATCCCGCCGTCAGTCGCCTTCCCCCCCCTTGCCTCAGACTTTCGCCGATGCTGGTTTTGCCGCTTGCCGAGCCTCGGATCGGGCCTTTGGCCGGCCCCGCCGGCCTCGATGGATGCAGCTGTTAAGGCCCAGTGAAGCGACCACCCCCCCCTCTGTAAGTTTCGTTCAGTGCGTCGCCCGAGCGTCGCCCGTGCGCCGGCCCTGGTTTGCGTCTCTGTCCCGAATCCCGGCCTCCCAGGGTGCGTGGGCGACATGTGGCGCGACTTCGGAGTTTCTCTGGCGATGTATAGGTTTCCGACGCCGGTGCACCAGCAGCCATTTTGGCGGTCGCGGCGCACTCTATTTCGACGGTCCACCAACGCGTTCTGTTCCCAATTCGGCGCAAGAGAATTTGCTGGTACTCATTTTCGGGGGCGCCAACCGTTGCTGAGGGCGAAGAAGCCTCGCGTTGATTGGGGGCTGTGCGTGTCGCGCCACGGTGGGGGTGACGTCGCGTCGCGCGACGCGGCGCCACTTCGCCCCGTCGCGTCGCGCCCCGCGCCCCCATGTCGTTTCGCGCCAATCCTCCTGCCCCCCCCCCCCTTTTCCTTCCTCTTCCCCACGTCCAACGCGCTGCGCGTTTTGTCCCGTTCTTTTGTGTCAGGCTGCCGTCCTGTCCGCCTCCCTACTCACCCCCCGTTGTCCTTCCACCCTCCTGGAACTTCTTCTCGCCCTCCTCGCTCCCGCCGCCCCCCTTCGATTGCCTTCCATCGCTCCCGCCGCCGCCGCGCCGCCCCCGCGCGCCACCTCCTCGCCCGTCCGTTCCCATTTCCGCCCGCCCTTCCCTCGCCTCACTTCCATCCTCTTTCCCCCCCAATGCATCGGCGGGCGAGACGTCGCCCAATTGCTGCAGCCACGGGCCGATGTTCAAACTATGACGTGGCGTGCGCTAGAAATGGATTAGTCCGTGCGCGCTGCATTTCCATGTCGTCTATTGGTCTCCTCGCGTTCGTAGTTCTCACGTGCGTGTTTCGCCATTTCTACGATTGCCGCGCGCATCCCTTTATTGTTTCGCCAGCGGGCCGCGCAGTTCACGTGCCGTCAGGAGCCCGCGGCGCCCTTCGAGCGATCCGCGCGCGACCTGCGCGCGACGCGCGAACGACCCGAGCGACGCCCGCGCGACGCACGCGCGACGCGCGCGCGACGCACCCCGACCCGCGCGCGACGCACCCCTGCCAGCGCGCGACGCGCGATCGACCTGCGCGACGCACGCGCCACGCGCGCGACGCACGCGCGACGCACGCGCGACGCACGCGCGACGCACGCGCGACGCACGCGCGACGCACGCGCGACGCATGCGCGACGCAGTCGCGACGTTGCCCGCCCCTAGCATTTCTCCGAGCAGCAATGCGCAATGGCCGTCGGCCCGCCGTGCTTGCGCTGTTCACAAGTGGCGGCGGCTGCGTCCTCCATTGCGCCGGGAGGGGCGGTGCTTGCCCCTGTTATTTCCCTTGTCCTTCCTCGTCGTCCCTCCTCTTTTGTGATTCCTCCTCATTCGTCCTTTCTCCTTCTCCTCCTCCTTTCTACCGGCCTCCCTCTGTCTGTCCCTCCCCCCTCCTCTCTCGTCTTTGTTTTTTCCCTTGCCACCCCGTGTCCCTCTTCATTTTCTTTTTCTCCTTCGGCCCCCCTTCCACGGCCGCGGCGCGTCGCTGCGAGCGGCGCCCCCGCCTTCCGCGAACGGCCCCGCCGCTGGCGGTGGAAGAGGAAGATTGCGAGGAGAAAAGGAGGGGGGGGGCAGGGGCGCGAAGCGGGCGCGGCGGCAGGGGCGGCCCGGCAGGGGAATGGGGGAGGGGGGGGGAGGGCGGAGTGGGCGGGTGCTTCTGTAATGGTCATGTTGGTGATCATGGTCGTGGTCGCGTTCGTCGCCTTGGTCTCGCTGGCGGCGGTCGCGCCGCTGGTGGTGGGCGGGCTGGTGGTGGTCACGTCGGTGATCGTGCTGGTGTCGGTCGTTGTGGTGGTCGCGAGAAGCGTGGTGGTCGTGGTGGTGGTGATGGCGGTAAATGGTGTTGGTCGTAATCGTCGCGGTGGATGTGGTTGCGGTCGCAACCGGTTGTGGTGTTCGTGGCGGCAGTAGTTTTGGCGCTGGCGGCGGTTGCGGCGGCTGCGGCGGCGGCTGCGGGGACCTGCTGCCCTATCGCCGGGGTGCGTTCAGCAGCGTCGCTTCATTTGTAATGTTAGAGGGGTTTGCTGATCTGCCGAGGTAGCCCAGCGGCCGCCTTCTTCTCACGCCAAGAGGGCCGCGGCGTGGGCGACTTTCTTTTTCCCGAAGGCGACCGGCCTTTTCAGCGGCCGTGGAGAGGGCGACGCGCGTGCGATCCGCCCCGCGGGTGTCCGCCGCGCTGGCGACGCACTCACCAAATTGCCCCCTTGCGAGGGCGACGTGCACGTTCGAGAGGACGGCTGGCCTTTTCGGCGGCCGACGCACGGGCGGCGCACGGGCGACGAACGCGCGACGCACCTCCTGTCGCGAAGGGGGGGGGGTCAGCACGCCGGTCGCTTTACTGGGCCGCAACAGATGCAGCAGCCCTTGGCGAGAACGGTGGCGCATACATACGCGCAACTACAGGAGAGATTGAAGGAGGGAAAGGGTGCGTTGCACCGCCCGCCAGGCTCTCCGAGATCAAAGCGCTCAAGCTACCCTGTGTGGCTGCATCGCTGGAGGCCGCCCTATCTTTGCTGGGGGAGGTCGCCGCTGGGGGGGGGGGGGGGGGCGGCGGGGCTAGCTGGCGCGAGAAGTCGAATCCGAAGAAGTATGCGAAGTTGTCAGGTATTTTGAAACAGCGCCATCAAAACCTTTATGCAGGTCGACGGTATCATAGTCCAGTAGCGGCGTCTTAATGCCATTGTTAAATGCAATATGAGTTTGTTGCGCGTTCTAAGCGTTTTTGTCAGACGGCATCGCGAAGCGTGCGGACACTTCGGCGATGACTGCGTTTGGGACAGAGCAGGCTGCACGAATCGTAGGTCTTCACGGCGCAGCAAACGCGAGTCGGAACCGACCACGCGCAAACTGCAGATGCGCAAACAGGTGAAGGCTGTTTGCGATAACGAGTGCGTGCGTAAGTACATGCCCTCTAAGCTGGTCGGTGGTGTTTCTGAATTGGTTGGACTGTCGTTGCCCAGCGACGACAACGCCCGCCTTGCGGCGCAGTTTCGCGTCAGACTTTTTCTTGTTGGGCCGCCGTTTGCTCCGGGCTGCGCTCTTGGGCGCCCCCGCCCGTGCCCCCCTCGCGCCGCTGCGTCAGGTCAGGTCGTTCCCCATCTCCCCCTCCAGCAGCGTTGGGAGCTAGGTTGGCTCGCGGGGGGGCCGTTGGGGGCGAGCGGCTCGAATCGCGCATGGCGCTGTTTCGGAGAGTTTTTTCCCCCGAGCGAGTTTGCCCGACAGACTTGGGTCGATCGGAAGCTTGTGGATGGGAGTGCGAGTGTGAACGAGTGCCTGGACATAGTTGCCATCACCGCCGAGTCAATCAAGCGCGCCGCGCGCGTTTCCGCCCGATCCCCCCGCCCGCCCATGGCTTTTCAGCGGGGGGGGGCAGGCGAGGAGGGGGGTGAGGAGAAGGGCGCGGCGGGGGAGGAGGGCGACTACGGGCCAAGCGTGGAGAGCGCGGATGGCGACAGGAAGGGCGCGGAGGGGGAGTAGGATTCAGATGTGCTAGCGAAGTTCTCCTAGACGAGCGCGCGAATCCGCCGCCCAAGCCGCGCGCCTCCAAGTCACAAGTATGTTCAGATCAGCCAAGGCGGGTCTGAAACGGACCCCGTGCTCGGCCCGAAGCGTCCTCCCGCGTCGAAAGCCGTCGCGATTGCCCAATGGACGGGCGAAGGTGGTCGCGTTTATTCAGAGGCTGCGCCTTCCGCTTGCCCCCCCTTCCAGGTATCCCTGGTCAGGCTTTCGTGGGCGTGGTCTCTATTGCCCCCACTTGTCTGAACTCGTTCAGCTGTTCTGGTTGATTTGGGACTGTTCTGGGGGGCCTTTCGGGATGTCCCAGGGGGTATTTTTATGCCACAATAAGGCGTGTTTGTTTGCCCTGAGTGTTTATGCCGCCGCAAATAAGTGTTCGGACCTCTCCACAACCCCGCTTTGCACTTGCTGGGGCTTCGCTCTCCTTTTCCGCCGTTAGTGGTGAAAAAGGGTTCCAAGTAGTCCAGGGTCTGTCTGCTTTTCGGCGAGTCGGCGAGCTTCTGTTCACTTCTCGTACCCTTCGCCCCCCTTGCCCCCAACTCCGCTTTCCTCTCCTCACCCCCTCCTCCTCCGACTGGTTATCCGTGCCAAGGCTGCCATGTTCTGTTCGCTGGGCCGAAGAAGTTGGAACCCAATTTCAAGCGTGCAAATCAGAGGTGTGATCTCATGAAACAACGCCCCTGGCGGGGTGCCGCTGTGATCCGAGTGGGGTGTTTTGTCCCATAGTTGCCGACGTAGTTGTGGCGAGACGCGCGGGGCCCGTGCGCGTAGTTGGGGCGTATTTCGTCTTCTCCCTCGTGATCTGGGTTCAGGGATGCCAGTGAACTCACAAGGCATGCTCCATGCACCCAGACACCAGACAACGTGCCTTTCCCAATGCGCGGCCCCAGGCCCCAGGGAGGTTCCGATTGTTTCCCCGCGGGCAGTTTTTCGTCCCATACTCATGTTTGATTGCCCCAGAGGCTGGAAACGACCCCAGGAGGCTGAAATAGACGGGAAACATGGGGACTAGAATCTCACACCCGTCGGATGTCTGGGTATGTGGTTGGGCACGTGCTTCCTTATTGGGGTTCGCACAGGTCCAGGTCCTCTCAAATGGGACTGGAATAGATGGGGTCGGAGGATCGCGCGCCGATGCATCGGCGATGCGGCTCGACTGGGAGTTCGGCTTTCTCCGTCCCGACGTCGCCGATGCGTCGCCGATGCCTCGGCGATGCCGTGCACTCCTCCGCCCCCATCTACTCTGGCACCATGGGAGAGCCCTTCATTAGGGGCGCCCTGCAGGGTAGCCCCAGGGAGGGCCCGACCCCTTCCCCCAGAGGCCAGAATTAAACAGGAAAAACGCTCGGATTGAGAAAGTCAATGCTCCGGAAGTCGGGGTACGGGCTTCATGTGGCTGGGCGCGAAGGTCCTTCGTGGGCCCCCCTGCAGGCAAGAGCTACATCCATATCCACTGCGTCTTGGACTTTCCGGCAAGGGGCGCCAGAAGGCCGAGGCGCACTGGACATTGATAAGAATCCAGCCCCTGAGGGCTAGACTTTTACCCACATCCGCTGCGCCTCGGGTGTGGGGAAGGGAGCCCGAAACCCCCGGACGCAGTGGACATGGAGACACATCTTGCCCGCACCCCCGCAGAGGAGCCCTGCAGGTTCGTCCGGCTCGACTTCGACGGCCGGCGAGGCTCTGGGCGCCGGCTCTTCTTCGTGTACGTCTTCGGCTTCTGAGGGCGGGCTGCGCCGAGCGCGGGCGCGGGCGCTGGCCGCCCGGCTCGGCCCGTGACGGGGGCGGACTGGCGGCGATGGCGCAGGGCGCGTGTGCTGGGGGCGGCGCAGGGGTGGTGGTGAGGACCAGCAGAGGTGAGGAGATAGTATGGCCAGGGCCATGAATCTCATGGCTCCCTCTTCTTCTCCTCCGCCTCATCGGAGACGTCACCGCGAATCACCGCCGCCCCCTGCCTTTTTGGAAACGCCTGCGTGGCCGAAAGTTAGGTCTGAGTTTGGCCAAGCTATCGGGCCACGCGTTCCCCGAGTGGGTTTCGAAAGCTTTCCAGGAACACGGAGTCGAGAGAGCTATCGGACCAGGTGGTTTCCCATCTTTGGGCCTTCCTGGAGGACGTCTTGGAGGGCTCTTGGGCTGTCTTGGAGGCCTCTTGCGGGCCTATAGGGCCGTCTTAGGCCATGTTGAGGCCATCTTGGGCCGTCTTGGGTGCATCTTCGGGACATCGTAGCCGTCTTGACGGCCATCTTGGGCGTCTTGGAGCCCTCTTGGGCCGTCTTGGGGCCTTCTTTGCGCCGTCTTGGGGGCCTCTTGGGCTGTGATGGGGCCATCTTGGAGGCCTCTTGGGCGCTCTTGGGTCGATGTTGGGGGCCGCTTGGGCCTTCTTGGGCCGTCGGAGAGCTGAAAAGGAGCAAAAGCCAGCATCCTTCAAACACCTACGGGAAATCAATCATTTTAACCCTGTTGGGCCTTCCTGGAGGACGTCTTGGAGGGCTCTTGGGCCGTCTTGGAGGCCTCTTGAGGGCCTTTTGGGTAGTCTTAGACTTAGGCCATCTTGAGGTCATCTTGAGCTGTCTTGGGTGCATCTTGGGGCCATCTTGGCCGTCTGGGAGGCCATCTTGGCCGTCTTGGAGGCATCTTGGAGGCCATCTTGGCAGTCTTGGAGGCCATCTGGGGCTTCTTGGGGGCCTCTTGAGCCGTCTTGGGGCCTTCTTGGGGCCGTCTTGGGGACCTCTTGGGCCACTTTAAACGGAGAAGGTTAAAGGCGAGGTATAAATCGAGCATGTACCGCTGCCGTGCCTGGCTCAAGCCGGGCCCGGCCTAATATGTGACTGTGCCTCACCGAGGCGCACTACTTGCATCTGAGATCGGAAAACATCCTTTCCATTGACGATGCCCATCTTACTCTATACTCCAGATCCCATGCTTCGTCTCGCTCTCTTGCTCATGCGATATGAGCCAAAGCCTGGGATATGGCAACGCCTAAGGCGTAACACATACCTAAGCTTACCAGCTTGTTTTCGACTTGGTAGCGGAGCTGGCTACACTCTCGTGTGGCTGGCTCTCGCTCTGATTCCAGTAATCCACGGCACAACTTGGTGGACTACTACCACGGTGGAATACCATGTTGCGCCGGCTCTGCGAGGAGCGGAGCCAGTCCGCGATCGAGCTAGCGGGGTCACCCGCGAACTCGAGACGCTTTCTCCTACTTCACTGCGCTACTTCACTCCCGACTTCCACCAGATGCCAATCGGCAACTCGATCGAGAACGTGGTCACCCTGCGGGGCTACCCGCAGCGGGGCCACCTGCATCCCGTGCCGGTCAGGCGCCTCACGGCTACCACGCCAGAGCCTGACAAACCACAGCCTAAACCAATCACCGAAGCCGAAATGCATATGCATTGGATCAAGATAACTATCTTCGGCATTCTATGGGTGATAATGGGATGTGCTGTGGGATACATGCGGCAGGGGATGGACGACACGCGTACTACTGGCCCTACATGGGACCCTGCCGGTACTACGCCTTTCCGCGAATACGTTCGCGAAGTACATGCATGGTTAAACGTAACGAGCGGCAATATGACACCACCACAACAAGCTGCAGCACTACAACGAGGCCTTCAAGGTCTGGCTCGTCGTATCGCCATGCAGGTCCCCTCCCAGATCATCAATTATGGTGTAACTGTCAATGGACAGCCAACGGATGCAGTAACCTACATACTGTACTTACTGAGCACCAAATTTGAAAATCTGGAAGATGAGCGCCAGCTCAACTCTGGCACGGCCCTTATCGACTTCCGCGTCGAAAGGGGCGAGCGAATCGACTCAGTATTAGCTCGATTCGAGATGGCCCGTGACGAGGCTAACTCTGTTGGCTTTGTCGTCCCCAACTTTCAGATCCTAACGCTGATTCTCTTCAGAGCGTTAGGCGTTGGCGCGTCACGAGCCCAACACCTGCTTGAGCCCTTCAATCATCAGATGCCCCGAACACAAGCAGACTATGACAGGCTGTTGACCAGGATGAGGAACTACGGACATGTTGCCGAGCGCTCTCCTGGTAACATAGCGGGTATCTTCACAGGGCACCACTCACATGCAGGTGTTTACGCCACGACTGCGGGGTCACCCGCTGGTCCTGGCGAGCCAAATCCCTGGGCTGACCCAGCCGATATGCCCAACGAGGCCACTGCCCTTCTAGGGCAGACCGGCCAGGCATCGGCAGAGGCAGCTGAGGCGAACGCCTGGTCGAACTACTCGCCAGGTGCCGCCTACACTGCAGGCCCGCCCTCGGGCACAACCCTCTGGGGCCAAGCGGAGTCATCCGCTCAATGGTCTCAGCCACCCTCACCGTTTGAATCTGGCACTGACACAGATACCTCATCTGACGATGAGCACAATGGAATAGTCTCTGCTGGTAATGACTATCCAGCGGATGACACTCACCTTTCTGAACAGCAAAGGGCGGAAGCCGCCTTTATGGCTTATCGCAAATCAAAACGCCGTTGGAGGCGCTTTATGAAGAAACCAGTCAGAAAGGTGAGACGTGCAGTACGCCGACATTTCAAACAATTTGGAAAGGGTCGTGGTAAAGGGGGTCGCAGACGCCGTATGCATGGTAGGGGTATTACTGCTTTCCTCACGTCCTTAACTGATATGGCTTTTGAAGAAGTTCTTATCGGAGGCAAAGGTCGGGGTCACAGGCGGACCTCCGGTAAGGGAAAGGGGCGGAGGGGCAACCCTAGGGACGCTTCTGGTAATACCATGAAGTGTCATACATGCGGTAGCACAGAGCATTTGCGCGATCAATGCCCGAAGGGGAAAGGAAAGGGATCCGTACACTTGGCTCAAAATTCTTTTATGGATGACATAGATTACATTGACTACGAGTTTTACGTCAATCCAGAAGCGGCTCCCGCTGCGGGCTCCTCCACGTATTACGTGATGGCCCGCTATGCTGAAGCAACTGTGGCCCTGGAAGACTACGCAGTGACCCTCTTCGACGAGTTCCACGGCTGGGACGAGGTCGATGAGATTGCGTACAATGCTTGGTTCGGTCTTCCAGCGGGGCCACCCGCCGGTGACGAGGTCTCCGAAGCCGAGACTGTCCCGGCAACAGAGGAAGAACTCACCGCCGCGCTGGCCCCACAAGTGATTGGCATGCCGTTGCTGCCAAATCCGTCGTGGGCTGGCTCGGAGATGGGAGACGCCGATGACGAAATGCGGGGCCATCCCGCGTATTCCGACTCCGAAGAATCCGAAGAAGATTATAACGACATGCTCCAAGAGCAGGTTTCAGAAGCAATCCGACTCTTGAGTGCGCCAGCACAGCAGCAGATGACGATGAACGAACTGCTGTCGCACCCAGGAGTTGCCCGTCTACGTCCATACTTGGATTCGAACATGTCAGCATCTCAGATGCTTACAGCACTCCAAGCTCTAGCGGGGTCACCCGCCGAAGAGATGCTAGACACAACAGCGGGGCCACCCGCTTGGTCTATGGATGTATTCATGCAAGGTTGCGATCAAATGAACATTAACGACCTCTCGATGGAGCAGTTAAATGACATCGGATACTTCAGAAGCCCGTATCAAAACGTGTTCATGGTCCAGGACAGCTCAGAGGACTCGGAGGACATGCGGTACGCCAAGAGGGACAGGCGACCGTCGCCTCCCCGAGACTCAGAGCATGACGATCAAAGGCCAGTGACACGTGGTAGTGCGTCAGCGGGGCCAGCCCGCGGAAGGAGCCGCTCAGCTCCTAGACGCCCTACGCATGATGAATCGGGCTATCCATACAGCACTGAGCACTCCGTTGGAGTATCTGCTCAGCAGGTGCCGGATTGGTACATCCAATGGTACCCCGGCTACTCTATGGATACTCTTCGGCACTGGTATTCTAAGGAATACTGTACCAAAAGGGACGAGACTGGCGCGATAATCCGTACCAAGGGCGGCAAGACCAAGACGCCAGAGGCCTGGGACAAAAGGGCGAAGAAGCAGGAGATCATCACTGACCGCAAAACGTACAGAAAGCAAGTATGTCAGTGTGAGCCCTTCAAAGGCCACATGCGCAGGTGTCCGATGGACCGCCCCTCCAGGAGCCCTCGCCATGGAGAAACCCCGTGGAATTGGTCTCATGGAGACGACGCGGGTAACGTCCATGATCCGAACAAAGAGGTTCCTGGAGGAGGAAAGCGCATCACAGAGGCCGATCGCGTCCCTATGACCGAAGAGGTGGCCAACACCGTCAAGGAAAATTGGGCAAAGCTTCCCAATGACCACCGCCTCAAGGAATGGAACCGCCGATTCCATAAGGAAGCGGGGTCACCCGCAGAATCCAGCAAGGAAGCGGGGTCACCCGCAGAAGCAGCACCAGCCGCTGGATCTGCGGACGAGTGGATAGACGTTGCCTCTGCTGCCGGGTCCGCCGCCGGCACTGACCGCACTGAGCTAAATGAAGAGTGGGCGGCGGAAGACGGTTCAGAGAATCCATTCCCTGACGGAAGCGCCTGCTGGTACTACAGCTCTTCGGCGCAGAAGTGGTTCTGCACGAGGGTACTCTACCGCCATGAGAATGGCAAGTACAAGCTGGCCATAAAGGGTACTGCCGACATCGACCAGATGAGGCAGGTCATCCATGATCATGGCCAGCCAGAAGGCCCTCCTAGAGACCCTCCTGGTCCACGACCAGGCAAGGGCAGCAGACCACCGCCAAGACCTAAAGCCGACTCCTCGTCTTCACCGACTCCTGCGAAAAGGCAACCGTCCAAGAGCCCCGAAGGCACACATGAGCGGGCGAAGGCCAGAGGGACTGCCAAGACAGACGATCCTAAGACGGCAGCTCCTCCCGGTCCGTCCGTGACAGAGAGGAAGAAGGTTTTTGCTGGACCATCGACCCCGATGCCGCCGGCGACCCAAGGCG